TGAGTGTGCTGTGGACTGCAGAGTCAGAGCAGTGGAGCTGCCGGTACCCTTTGGAGCCCAGAAGATCGTGAGTGAATCCCAGATGTCCAACCTCGAGCTACTTTGCTGGACTTTGGTTTTGCTTACGTGTCCCCGATTCTTCCCTTTGAAATAAGACAGTACTTGTTTTGGATTTTACAGAAGCCCACCCACAGTTGAGACTTTTTAAAGAGACTATGGACTTTAAAGTGTTTGGATTTTTTTTTAAGGACTGTGGGGTTTTTAAGATTGTACTGTCGTATGTTGTGATATTAACATCATATCTTGGGGACAGAAATTGGAAAGTTATGGTTTAATAGTGATATTTATGTGTCAAGTTGACAGGGGGTCAGTTGTGCTGGATAGCTTTAGTGTCAACTTGACACACCTGGGTTGAGGGAGCCTCAGTTGGGGAATTGCCTCTATTGGACTGGCCTATGGCCATGTCTGAGGGGCATCTTCTTGATGAGTGATGTGGGAGGGCCCAGCGCACTGTGGGTGGTGCCACCCCTGGGCAGGTGGACCTATGTAGCATAAGAAAGGCTGAGCAGGGGCCAGGGGAGCAAGGCAGTAAGCAGCGTTCCTCCATGGCCTGTGCTCCAGCTCCTGCTTCTAGGTTCCTGCCCTGACTTCCTACCTTGGGCTCCCTGATGAACTGTGACCTGGGAGATGTAAGCTGAATAAACCCTTTCCTCCCCAAGTTGGTATTGGTCAGTGTTTTGTCACGGCAGTGAAGAAAAAAAGCAGGACACCTCCCTCCGTGGGCTTGCAGGAAGGATCTATTCTTCAGCCTCAGTTAGTTGCACACATCCCTGTTTGTGCTCATACCACCAGAACTGTGCCTCTGGCCACTGCCATTTCTTCTTTTCTTCTGTTTTATAAAAACACATATGCCTTCATTTGACAACTACCCAGAGAGTCCAGAATGATCCTTAGTCATATCTGTACAGTGCTTGTCATTTTGCATACAAGATTCCATTCCCATACTCCAGGGAGATTAGGACAGAGTTATCTTTGGAGAGAACCATTCTTCTGCCTGACAAAATGGTCTAATTATAAATTATCTATGTATATGTCGTCTATTACCTAGTTGTCTTGCAAGTAATCTATCTTTGCTTAGACCTCTAATTTTTTTTAAATAACATAATTTGCCCAAAAAATTGTGAACTTTAAACATTCTATAAGGAAAAATCTTATATTATCAGTCCTTATTTTAGTCACTAATAACACGTTACCTGTAATCAGTGGCAGGTTTACAAAATGCAGAAACGTCTTTCCTCTGTTCCATCCTATAGGGCCTTCTTTATTGTGTTAAACCTGTCTTTATTTTTCCTTCATGCATTGAGTCAGCATGTATCCAGCATGTTTATCAATTATGTGGAAGTCAGGGCCCAGCTTATTAGCTGACATATTAGCATGGCTAGGCAGATAGTTAAAATATGATCTTCAGTTATATGTGAGACAGTTGTACGTGCTTTGAAAATTCAAATATATATATGCATGCATACTTACATAGAGAGTCAGGATAGAGCTGGCAGCCAGTACTAGGAGCAGGCAGTGAGAAGGTGAGCATGCCATTTTTAGGCTGGCTGGTCATGGAGGGCTTCTGGCATTTGAACAGAAATAAATGAAGAAAGGGTTCAAGATGTAAAATACTTGGGAAAAGGCTATTTCCATCAAAAAAAAATCATAAAGTTTGTAATCAGCTTGCATATTTGAAACTAAAGCAGATAAAGAAATGAAAAAGGTGTAGGAGTCGAAGTTGGAAAAGAGGCCAGAAGACATGTCTTTCTGTGTCTGTCGGTAAGGGCTTTGGATCTTTAAGAAAAAAAACAAGAGGGTCTGGAGAGATGGCTCAGCAGTTAAGAACACTGACTGATCTTGCAGAAGACCAGGGTTTGAATCCCAGCACCCACATGGCAGCTAACAACTGTCCATAACTCCAGTTCCAGGGGATCTGACTGCCTCTTCTGTCCTCTATGGGTGTTACACAACATGGGTGCACTTACTGTCATGCAGGCATAACACTCATACACATAAAATAAAAATAGTAAGTCAAATATTTTTTAAAATTTTAAACAAGAAAATATAATATTTAACCCATTGTTCTGTGAAGACATTTTTATAATATAACAGTAATAAATAATGATATAGCTCTCAGAACAGTAAGCATGATCCAATGTTTCTATAGAGGTATGTGTACTTCTGTATTGAATTCCTTACTATGTTTCTTTTTTGTAGATCTGTGTGGTCCAGGGCATATATGGCTATCATCATTATATGCAGGATCGGATAGATGACAGTGGCTGGGGCTGTGCCTACCGGTCCCTGCAGACTATCTGCTCATGGTTCAGACATCAGGGATACACAGAGCGGTCCATTCCAACACACAGAGAAATTCAGCAGGTACAGAACATGCTATTTTAAATTATAATCAGTTGTGTATTCCATTACCTCTTAACACACCATTAACAATTAAAATTACCCTATGGCTTATTTTTGTTTTGAAAAGAAATATTCTTTGGCTGGTAATTGGGAAAGATGCCCTAAATACATTTTTTTTAATAGCTGCCTTGTTTTTGTTTTTTTTTTTAATACATAAAGGCTCTAGTTGATGTCGGTGACAAACCAGCAACATTTGTCGGATCTCGGCAATGGATTGGATCTATTGAAGTGCAGCTGGTACTAAACCAACTGATTGGTATAACTTCAAAAATACTCTTTGTCAGGTAAAGACACTGTAAATTAAATAAATCATTTCCAGTGACAGTCCATCATTTTATTGAAATAATGGGAAATAATATTTCCCTCATTTATTTTCACTCCCTACTCTTCCTTCTCTTTACCTCATTGCTTTACAAATCCCAGTTTTTAGCAAACTGTAATCTATACTTGATCTTTTTAGACCTAATTTTAGCTTATGCAAGGAAAATTTTAAAACGTCATCTTTGAGTAAAAAGTTATATAAGAAAGCCTACCTTTTTTCATTCCTGAATCCTCAGAAAATCTTACAAGAAGAAAATCAAATGCTGATCTATGGCCATTGTGTTTACCTTCTGCTTGTTTTCTTCCTAAGATGCTGTGCACCAACCGTATCCAAATGATGGATTCATGTTGTTTTCCACAATTTTAATAATATGAGAATATAGAAATTAATGAGTATCAGTTTTTCTGACCATAACTTGCTAGCTCATTATGTATTTTATATATATATATATAAATAAAAGCAGGAGTGCCCTTGCGTGTATGTATATATACATAATACACATATTTTTAAAATGCTTTTTATTTGATGTATATAAGTGTATTGCCTGCATGTACGTAAGTGCACCTGTGTCATGCAGTGACCATGGAGGTCAGAAGAAGGTGTCAGATCTCCTGGAACTGGAGTTACAGGTGGTTGTTAACTTGTGGGAGCTGGGAATCAAACCCAGGTCCTTTGCAAGAACAGCCAGTGTTCTTAACCATCTTTCCAGGCCCCATAAATATATGCATACTACATGTTTTTGTTGTGGTTGTTGTTTTTTGAGAGATCTCACTATGTAGCATTGGCTGGCCTGGAACTCAATATGTAAACCAGACTGACCTCAGACTCACAGAGATTTACCTGCCTCTGCCTCCTGAGTGCTGGGATTAAAAGCATGTGCCATCACCCCTGGTCAGTGGGCTTATATTTTAATATTTTTCATATTGATAACTACTATAACAGTATCTTTGTTGTTCAAGAATTTCACAATTGGAATTGGAATTATAGAAATCAGTACAAAATAATAGCAGATTAAGTAATTTTAGAATTATTTTTAAAAATGAAAGTTTTGGGCCAGTAAGGTAGTTCACCAGGTAAAGGTTGTTACCACCAAACCTGATGACCTGAGTTCAATCCTAAGAGCCAAGTAGTGGAAGGAGAGGACTGACTCCTGCAAGTTCTCCTGACCTACACACAAACACATGCGCGCTTAGATAAGTTTTAGAATTTTTGATACATTAAAATTTTATTGATATTTTACTCACTCAGCCCAGAGCCACGGTTTAATGCCACCTGGCATCTCCAAATATGACAGACTCACTAATGAGTCAGCTTCCAAACCTTTACTTTTTAATGGTGCAAAAAGCAATATGGATTCGATGGAAGTGCCTGAACTTTTATGTTCTAAATATAGAGTACCGGTACTCTGATGCTGCTGGGCAGTGGCAGCAAGTCTTAACTCCCAGTTCACCTTCACAAAAGTCAACAATGGGCTGGGTTGCTAAGCAGTGGTGTTTGGTAATTAGGTGTGCTAAATAAAATTTTCAGCTCACAGCATTTTCAACTTACGGTGGTTTTATTGGGATTTTGAGGAATAGCTCTGTACTTTCCTTTACCAGTCCACCTTTCTGGTGGAAAAAGCAAAAGGTCTATAGTGCATCCAATACTCCATAAAATGCAGTATGTTACACTTGAAAGCATTTTGAGGTTTTCACAGATGTATTAGCCCTAGAATATACTCTGTGCTCTAGGGGAACAGGCATTACTGGTTCCAATGAAAGATGGAAAAAAATGTGGACACTGAAGCAAAAGGACTTAAAAGTTTAGAACCAAGTTGGGTGTCATGGTGCACCCCTTTAATCCCAGCACTTGAGAGGCAGAGGCAGGAAAAAAAAAAAAAAAAAAAAAAAAAAAAAAAACCTAGAACCTTCTTTATATAGTTCTAGAAGCAGAAAACCAAAATCTTTGTTTCTTCCTATTCATAGCCTTAAATATTTAGTTTCTGTTGCTTTAAATTGCTTTCTAAATCAGGGCCCTACCACTTAATTTTTATTTAAACTTACACATTTTTTTAACCCCCCCCCCAAAAAAATAAAAATGTTTTCAACATTGCCCCTACCCCAAACTCATTACTTGACCTTAGTGTTGGAAGTAGTTTCCCTAATGGAAAATGGTTTCTTTCTAGCCAAGGTTCAGAAATGGCCTCTCAAGGACGGGAACTGGCTAACCATTTCCAGAGTGAGGGCACTCCAGTAATGATTGGTAAGGTACTGGGGCATCTTGGGCTCCCTTGGCAGAGTGGAAAATAAGCAAAGCTTGCTAGTATGATGTTTCAGTATTGCATAAAAAACAGCCTTTTCAAACATTCTAAAATTAATGTTTATACCATACATAGTAATTTATTTCCAAAGTAGAGAAGTTGCAAAACAAGATTTAATAACCAAAAGTAAAGGCTAAAAAGGAAATGATAATTATATTTAAGCATTTAAAGAGCTGAGAGCAGTATTAAAAAGGGATGGCCAGCATCATAATTATCACTCTAATTTGGTCAGCTGCATGACACAACAGATTACTTGTCTGGGCTTTATTTGCGAAGTAAGATTGGATTAACTGATCTAAAGATAACATAATTCCACAAAGAATGACTTATCCACAAAGAAGGACAATCTAAGACTGTTGTGTAAGATATGGAGGTAGATATTGGCAGGGTGTCACAGGGAACCTGTGCATGGGCTCTGTCACTGGAGAAACTCAGAGCAGATGCAGCAAGATTTGCTGCAGGAGGGACCACAGCAGTGATGTGACTGCTGGGAGGGGCTTGGTCCCTCTGTGGCCCTTTCTATGTCCATGGTAGGGGATTCCAACAATATGGCAATGGAATATAGACTTCATATGCTTATTCATATGATCACCTTTTTTTGTTAAAGTTATAATCATATCCTTTCAGAATATACTTACCATGATGGTCTTTTACAATGTAGGACATTCTATTTTAATGCTGTCTTAAGTCAACAAACAAAATAATCGGTTTATTTGAACCTAATACACAGTTGAGATGAATTTATATCCTGTTGCATTTTCATATTTCTCCTCTAGGGGGAGGCGTTTTGGCTCACACAATACTAGGAGTTGCATGGAATGAGATTACAGGCCAGATAAAATTTCTTATTCTAGACCCACATTATACAGGTGCTGAAGATCTGCAAGTCATTTTGGAAAAGGTAAGTGTCCACATAACATAAATTTAGACATAAGGCAAAGAAGCCAGAAATGAAGGCGAGCAGCTTGGATGTTAACAGAAAGATGAGCCACAGGCAGGGTCTCACTGTAAGAGGTATTTCTGAGCCTGCTGAGGGTAACTGTCTCCATGTAGTGAAGACAGGAGAGACAAAATCATCGCAAAAGACACAGTGTAGGTTAAATTTATAAAAACCTTGCTACCAAACTCATAGTGGTAATGGAACATAAACTTCATGAGATACCTCCTTTGGAGATTTTGTAGCATACACAATTGTATTGCAGCTCATCGATGTCTTAAAATAGGAGAATAGAATAAACTTTTGTAATTTTAGAATCTACTAATAAATAAATAGAAGACCCGCCATTATGAAGATGTAACTACTTCTCATCTGTGTACATATACTCTGGTCATAATTCTATAAAGGAGTCGAAGTTGAGGCAGATTTAGAAATATTTGTTATTGCTTGCAATATCAGCTACACAAGGCATAAATTTCAGTTGATTTATGAGGAACTAATTTTCACGTGAAGGGCTAGCAAGATCACTGAACAGATAAGAGCACTTGCCACCAAGCCTGACCACTCAGTTTTATCTTCGGAGGCCACATTGTAGAAGAGACCAATGCCTGCAAGTTGTCCTCTGAACTTCACATGCATACATACAAATAAACAAGTAAATAAAAGTGTAATTCTCACATAAAATTTAGTACTAAATCATTAGAAGACAAGTACTGTATAAGATACCTAGAATTTTAAATGTTTATGTTCTTTATCAAGTGTATTAAATTATAGAGAATGCATATGCCCCTTTAAGTCATAAACTAATGTAGGTTTTACTTTTCATTTTGTCCTATTGTCACTTAAACCAATTAAAATTAGTGTCAAAGAAAGAATTCTATAAGCCTCAGCTGTCATTTGATTCAGCCGTGTTTTATAAAGAATTCCTGAAAAATGGGAAGGTTTAATATTGAAATTCATTGCTGAGATTGTTTCACGAGCTACAAAGAATGTATCTACATCATTTTCCTAAAGCCCTAAGGATAAAATGTTTTAGTACACTTGCTAAACAGCTCCTAGCACTTGTGTAACTGAACTCTAAGGTATATGCATGATTACTCTTGTTAATGAGAAGAGTAACAACAGGATATAAATGTGTTCTTACATCTTCAAATATTTTCTTTTCCAACTCAAAGCATGTGGAGTTTTATCAGTATTTGAGAGTGCATATATCGTAATCACAACAGCAACAACAGGTCTCAGAAGGAGCATAGTAATAGAACACTTGCCTACCACACATGAGGCTCTGGGTTCAGTCCCCAGCACCCTCAAAAACAATACAGAATTATTGGGCTGGCAAGGTGGCTGAGCTGGCAAAGGTGCTTGCTGCCACCCTGACAACTTGAGGTTGATTCCCAGACTCACCTGGTAGGTGAGGACATCAAGTTGTCCTCTGATGGCCACATGTGTGGTATGGCATTTACACACGAAATAAAAAATAAATATTTTCAATTTTTTTTTAAATAATAGTAGCAATATTTTCCCCTTCTGTAACATGGGGTCCATTCATCCAGCATTTAAGTACCCAGCGCATGTCAGCCATAGTCCTAAGCACTGGGAATAAGTTTTTAAGAAGCTGTCAGTCTCCTGGAGAAGAATAGAGGGAAGTCCACAGAGGATCCTCAAGACAAACAAATGTTTACAGGTTTACAGGGCTACAGAGGAACCCCAGAGGCAGGGCAAGAAAGTATGGCCTGCTTCCCTGCTGCAGGTTAGCCCAGCAAGAAAGTGGCAGGAGGGACAAGAGCCAGGGAGAAAAGCTGTGATTTAGATTTTTATCTCAAAAGCAGGGAGAAATCTTAAGTATTTCCATCAGGGGAATGATACAGTTAATACTGCTTCCTGGTTGACTTAAATGGGCTTTGCCACAGGTGGAATTACCTTGAAAGTTTTCTGAAGCAGTTAGATAAAGGAGCCATCATTCCTGATTACTTTCTCTGAGAACTTCTGGGAACTTTGTTAGTTATGCTTCTGTAGAAGGATTTGATAGCAGAAAGCCCCTTAACCCATCAGAGTATGCAGGAACCTGGAAGCCAAGGCAGTCATCAGTAGACTCTCTTGACTGTCCTTTGACTCCAGATAAGAGGCAGTGGTAAGGTAGGCTCTGCCTTGCTTTCCTCTTACAGAGCCTCCCCCATTGACATTCCCACGCTAGTCATCTGGAAGGGAAGTATGGCACCCACATACAGGCCTTTGGGCATCTCTCTACCCATTTTTCTTTTTTTAAAAAAAAGAAAAAAGAAAGAAAATAAATAAATGTGGCTACCAGAAGGTCTATCCGCGTGAGAGTATTCTCAAAAGACTAAAGCAGATAGTGTATAACTTCATTATATTTGCCTGTCAAGACAGATTTTAGAACATTAAATTTATTAAAACTTTGCTGAACTATGAGATTTAAATGTTATTATTGTAAAGAAACAGATCTAAAAGACAATGATCCAAATTTAATGTTGATTACCTCAGGAGATGGAAAAGTTGAACTGGTAGATTTTTCTACTTTGATCTTGATAGAATTTTTACAACATGTATCTTATTTTTACAATAAAAAACAAAACAAAGATAAAAGCACATCTCCAGTGAACCCTCCCACATCCACATAAAAAATACCTAGTCCAGTGTCTGCTGTAGATGCTGTAAACTTAAGACTCCAGGTCCCAACCACTACAGCAGCTTCGTTAAAGGAGTAAGACTGCAGCTGTCACTCAGTCCTCAGCCTGAGTGTTTCTCATCTCACTTGAGAATGATGAACTACAGACCAGTCACCATACTTCAGACCAGTCATTAGCTTTTTCTCCTTAAGAAATGAAGTCAAGCTGGACCTGGAGCCAACACACCTGTGGTCCCAGGACTCAAAAGGTTGAGGCAGGATGATAGCTGATAGTTCAAGGCCAAGCTATGCTACAAAATGAGTTCAGGCCACCTTGGGCTGCAGTGTAGACCTTGTCTCCAAATAAATCAGTGGCCCTGGGAGAAATTTGATAAGCTTTGCTACTTATAGTGAGACCTGCTTTAAAGTATGTGTCTTTGCTAGCGGAAGAAAGTGAACTGGTTAGAACTGAAGGAAGGCAGAAAACAGAACTCATGAAGCTGGCTTCGGTTTTGCACCTCCATTGTTTCATTATATCTAAGATGCCACTGAATTGTGCATATTTAAAGTCTTCTACAGACTACTAAATAAAACAGATCATCAGCTAAGCTATTAACGTGGTACTGATTACCAGAGCTATAAAACTACATCTTAGATCCAATGAAATAAAGTATCTGGATAAGTTATTACAGGTTTTTCTTTTTTGAGGACTTCTAAAACCAAATGCTGTAGACTGTTTTTAAAGTTTAAAAATCCATGTTAAAAGAACCAAAAATTACTTTTCTTTACTTGGAAAATCCTGGAGTTTTATAGGTATTTGGGTCTAGGTTAGGTCCTGCAGACAGAGCTTCATGTTACAGTTTCTGTCATGTAGCCTAGTAACCATGTAAAAGGTTCTTTTCCTTTCCCTTCTTCCAAATTTAGGGCTGGTGTGGATGGAAGGGCCCAGACTTTTGGAACAAGGATGCTTACTATAACTTATGCCTTCCTCAACGACCAAAAATTATTTAAATTATTTTGGATTCAAAGACTATAAAGGTGGTATTATAATGTTAATAAAAACACGCTTAATTTTAAATTAACTCCTGGGTATGATTTAATTTAAACTAAGACTTTTTTCAAATGTAATAAAGATTTCACAGATTTTATTCCTTAGATACTCCTTTAATAAGTTAAAAAAAAAAAAAGCAAACCATACATAGCCAAAATACTATAGTCATGTAAATACATGTATTCATAAATGTTTTCTTCACTTGGAAGAACGTTTTCCTCCTCAGGAGTTTAGCTATACGATGAGCCATAGCCATGGTTTGTAATCTGTCAGAAGTGAAGTCTCTTCAGACGTCTTCATGCCCAACATGACTTCTGTTTTGAAAAACATGTTAACATTAAAAACTTTTTTAGGGGTGCTGGAGAGGTGACTTAGTAGTAAGGGTGCTTGCTGTAAAATCATGAGGACTAGAGTTCAGATCCCATTACCTAAGTAACAAGGTCAAACTTGCCCCAAATGCCTGTCCTGTACCTCCAAAGGGATCTGATACCCTCTTTTGGCCTCCACACACAAACAGAAAGTAAAATGAAATCTTTTTTCAAGAAAATTTTTAAAGGATGTGGTTTCTCCCCAAACTTCTGTCTAACCAATGTTTAAATGTTAATGAAGAGGATGCTGGGTCTAAGAATGTTGATATTTGAGTGAAACAGAAAAATCCTGTACCAGAAGAGAAATTCTTGAGGGAGAAAGAAGCAGCCGTCAGCTACTCACCAGCACTTCCTTTTCACAGCTACATTTTCCACACTTCTAAAGCTTCGTTTCTGTCTGAACACCGGAACACAGGGATCCCTGTCAGGGTGCACACTTGACTTTGTTGTCTGCATACATTTAGTCATGGTGAGAAACTTGGCACATTCTGGAAATCCACATGACCAAGCAAGATCTTCAGCTGTTTGCCCGTTCTTATTACATAAACTGAAATTGGACAAAGCTGGCGTTAAATAGAAATTTGGAATTGTTTATTCTTTTTCTATCTTTCTAACAAAGGAATTCAAGCACATATCAACACCAGAGTAAGAGAGGTGCTGGGCCAGGAGTGTGGTACAGTAAAGGAGCAGTGTTCAATCCAGTGCACATACACACAAAAAAGAGGGAACAGAAGTGCAGGGGAATTTAGTTTTGCTCACTACTATACCCTCAGTCGCTAGCAGATCTGCACAGAGTGGGCATTCCATTGTGGTAATTGTATTTTTATTCCATTATTGTGCTTCACTGTTGAATGAATTTGAATGAATACAAAAGTATTTGGTGTTCAGTACAGTGAATGAGCACCCAGATGTAGCCCACAAAAACTCTATAGAGTTTCTTAAGCTAAAACTGAAGTGTCACTGTCATGATGTATCTCTGAAGGCTCGGGATCTACTTCACTCCAACTGATAAGTGATATTCATTATTGTAATGATCATTATTAACTGCTTAGGCAAACATGAAAGGATAACACTAAATCAGTTAGGCAAGCACTATTTCTAAAATAATTTCTAATTAGGCTTCAGGAGTTCAATTGGTTTAATCCAAGAAAACACAAAATCTGGAACTACTCTTTTTTGTTTGGGTTTTTTGTTTGTTTGTTTGTTTGTTTGTCTTTTTTGAAACAGGGTCTCCTTGTAGCCCCAGCTGGCCTGGAACTCACTATGTAGACCAGGCTGGCCTTGAACTCACAAAGATCCACCTGCCTCTGCCCCCCAAGTGCTGGGATTAAAAGCATGCGCCACCACACCCGGCGGAACTACTCATTTTATACTCACTCAATTTGGGCATCACTGGCTACCAGCAGGCTAAGGCATTCCAGGCTTCCAACTTTTGCTGCCTTGTGAAGTGCAGTTTCTCCCAAAACATCCTTTAGGACAAGATAGAACTTGTTTTAGGACAAGTCTCCCAAAACACTTTCCTGTGTAAACTCGTGGATGGTTTAATATTAGCTATTTGAGGGGCTAGAGAGATGGTTTGGCAGTTAAGAACACTAGTTGTTCTTGCAGAAGACCCGGGTTCGAATCCCAGCACCCACATGGTAGCTAACAACTGTGTAATTCCAGTTCCAGGGGATCGGACAGCCTCTTCTGTCCTCTGTGGGCATTGCACGACACGGGTGCACTTACCTACAGGCAGGCAATACACACACGTAAAAATAATAAAAATTTTTTTTTAAATATTTGCTATTTGAGGAAGCCAGTTAAAACTGTCTTGTATGGACTGAGTTTTTATTCAGTCTATCTTTAATAAAGTTCTTTTTCTGTTCTAATACAAAGTTTGCATTAATAAAGATATGCAGTCATATTCACATACATTAAAATTTAAGGAAATGCAAGCAAATTAAGAGTTTACAGAAGCTAAAAAGTTCACAGCTTTAAATGTCATTATAATCAAGATGAAAACCACTGGAAGAAAGAGATGGTGGCATTGTCTCCCAACTATTATTTCATGCTAGACTGAGACTTGGCAACATAGCAAATACTTTGAAAAATACTGCAAAGCTGGGTGTGGTGGTGCATGCCTTTAATCCGAGTACTTGGGAGGCATAGGCAGGTGGATGTCTGAGTTCGAGGCCATCCTGGTCTACATAGTGACACCTGTCTCACAAAAGGGGGGGAGGGGACAAATGAATTGCCAGGCAAAGTGTTTACACCTTTAATTCCAGCATTTGTGAGGAGGCTGGTGGATATCTGTGAGTTGGCGATCAGTCTGGTTTACATAGCAAGTTCCAAGCCAGCCAGGGCTACATAGTAAGACCCTCAAAACAAAATCAACACCCCCCCACACACACATACACTGTGCAATGTGATAACCTGTAGCCATCTATGCTAAAAAGCACTTGTCATCTGCATTCATTAGGCAGGTGATGCTGTTGCTTGATTGCAAACCTGGAGGTGAGACTGAGCCTCTTTTGTCCTGTTTTGACATGTGGCTAGACTGAACTGAGATGCCATAAGAATGAAATACACAGCACATCAGTATTTGACATGAGTACACACAAACAGTATTTTGGTTAAATTACTAAAAATCTCATGGTTTGCTTTTGCTTTACTGATGTGGCTACTAAAAAATTTAAATTACAGTCTTGCATTATATCTATATTGGACATTCCTATTATAGATATGTTTACAACTGAAAACTACTGCTTATTTCTAGCAGTTAGGAAATATCTGTGCAGATACGGGGTGGAGAGACGGGGTGTACACAGCAACAATCCGTTACTTAGTTACCTGTTGGTTGAGGTCAGCACCTGCTTGCAGCTGCCAGAGAAGAAAGTAAGCAAGGCCACCACCTGCGGCTAGGTGGACGGGCGACTGCTCTTGGGGATCCGGGGGTGCGTTGACAGAAGCTCCAGTCTCCAGCAAATTCTTGAGACCTTCCACCTGCAGGAAGAGAACAGAATGTCACTGTCCAGTCCTGCTTGAGTCCTACGCGTTGAAAATCGTTTTCCCCTGCAAAAACCTAACTGACAAGGTCTGATTTGGTACACGAGTGATCAGTCCACCGTCACCCCGTTAGTGCTCCCAAAGAAGACATCCTGTGGAAGATTTCTTCTGCAGGACAAAAGAGGCAGAGAGCCTCACCTCCGGGTTGCAATCGAACAACAGCATCGCCCAACTCTACGCAGATGACCAGAGTCCCCGAGAGTGCCGAGTGGAGCGACCCGGGAACACCGGCAGGTGAGGTTGCACAGGGCTGCCGAGTGCCGGAGTTTGAACCCTGTGGGAGCTAGCACACGAGCCCCTCCCCGCCGCGCCGCCTAGTCTACTGCAGCCTGAACTTTTCCAGCTCCAGGGCGGCCGCACGTACACAAACGCTGACACGTGCAGGCAGGAACCCGCGGGCTGGGAGGAAGGAGGGGCAGGCCACACAGGCCAGCCAGCCGATTGGGCTAGGGGATGCCCCCGGCCGCCCGCTTCGGAGCGACGGCCTAGGTCGCCCTCACACGCATGCGCAGTGAAGGCGGTGGGCCTGGCGGGCGAAAGCCTGCGCTTTCTTACTTGGGCGGCTGCCATAACGCGCGCAGAGTTTTGCACGTAGCGTGTGGTCGCGCCCAGCCCTTTGGTCCCCTAGGAGAAGCGGAAGTCGCAGGTTCATGCTTTAGCGTCTGCTAACTCGCACGTACCCAGGAAAAGAGCGAACCTGGGAGTAGCTTCCCTCAGGCCCGCCCTGGGCCTCGGGGCCTTCGGACTGGCTTCCTCCATCGCAGCGGGGTGTCGGCCAGGCCCTGACAGCCTAGCCGGGCGTTAGAGCGGTGGTTGAGCGGATGCTGCCGGGCGGTGTGCCGTGGAAATGCCCTCCCTAGCTAAGGGGGTTATCAATTCCTGCCCTCCGGGTCTCCCTTCAGAGAGACTATTCCCGGGAGCAGGAATTCCCGGGAAATAAACCACCCATTGCCACGCCTGGAGAGAGGCTGAAGCACTCTTGGGCCTGGGGAAGGGTAGTAAAGCTAGGAGTTTTGAGGCTGGACTGTGTGAAGGAGGGGACTTGTGCTCACCCTGGCCATTGGGAGAGCCCTGCACTCGACAGTTAAGGCCAAGGGACTCTGCTGGCCTCTCTACAGGGAAGCATGGAAGGTGGCTCTTGGAGAGCTCTTTGTGATACTCACCTTGACTGATTTTTGAAGAACTTAAAAAAGTCTAACTTCAAATTGTCGCTGCCCCTCCCCCCCCTCCTGTCCCTCATCTACTCGAGTCCTTGAGTGTTCCAAAGCACTCTTTCCAGATTAACGAAGCTAAAACAAAGCTCCAGCTATTAGTTCTTTCCTCTAAATTTTGGAAATTTTCAAATGATTTCCTTATTTCTAGGAGGACTGAAAATTAGGTGTGTTTACTGTTTGGTGGTTGGCAGGGTGGAGACCCAACTCTGCAGATTCTTGGCTTGACTGGAGAAAAGAAATTCAGGAGGAACCAGTATGAAGCAGACTTAAGGGTTTATTCAAAGTCGTTTTTAACATTGATCTTAAACATAGGGGTGCTCGAGAAAAGAATACAATATGATCCAGGTGGGTATGGGGTTCTCAAGGGCGATAGCAGGCCTTGTCTTTATAATGAGAGAGAGAGAGAGAGAGAGAGAGAGAGAGAGAGAGATGCTGTGGTGGATTTAAATTTCAAGGAGTATAATTTACAAGCTTAAAGTTTTAAGTAAAATTACTTTAAAAATTAAAAATATATGAGCTGGTTTGTCTATTTCTCTTAAGAATTTCTCTTTGTAAATGTATTTGAGGTGTGTTATTTAAGCTCGGAGATGAGGAAGAAGCATCGATATGGTATAACTCAAGGTTAGAAACATTTTGACCCTAAATAAGCACAGCTCACATTTCATTTGTTGTTTTAATATCTGTTGTTTTTGATATACCTTTAGGAAAACACACTATCTCTATAGGAAATTTGAGATTTATTGGTTTTGAAGTCCTTAACTCTGTCAGCAGTAAAGACAAACTAGATCCCAGGGTAAAGTCTTCTTTCCTTTCTCGTGTCCTTGATTTTCTGTCTATCCTGCCTCACTTATTGTCTTCTAAATGAGTGGTCTTTTAGTCTTTTGATTTTTTTATTACAAAATTATTTTTAATAAAAGCCGTGAAGATAATAATCATTACTTTTAGGTAGTCACCCAAGGGATAGTTTTAAACATTCTTATTCATATAAAATAATGCCTGTGTTCTATATTTTTAATAAATTGTTCATAGCATCTTTTGCTGGTCTTTAGAGAAGGGCACTGCAGAGATGTTATCAGAATTGTGAACACATGCCCACATTCCAGTTTCCTTTTCCTCCCGTTTGTCAGGTAAGCACCTTTTCTGAAACCACACGTAATTAAGGTTCAGTTTTGCATCGATGTTCATATTTAGGATTTCCTAAAAAAATATATTATCAGAGATGTTCTGAGTTTAAAATGTAAATGTTGGCCAGGCATGTTGGTACATGCCTTTAATCCCAGCACTTGGGAGGCAGAGATGGGGGGATCTCTGTGAATTCAAGGCCAGCCTGGTGTACATAGTGAGTTCCAGAACAGCTGGGGCTACAGGGACACCCTGTCTCAGAAAGACCAAAAAAAAAAAAATCCATAAATGTTGTAGAGTTAACTAATATAATAGTATGTACAGGGTTAAAATACTTCCATATTACCACATTCTTTTCTTTTAAAACAGCATTCTTTTCAGCAGGCATTTTAGGCTCCTGTTGCTTGTGCATTTTTCACAGTGGTTGCAGCTTTTGTTCCTTTCATCATCACTGGATATTTGTTTTGCTCAGTGTTTCAGAAAAATTGTCTCAACGGAGTTTACCCTTAATATACCTTTAACACTTTTTTAATATATATTTTTATATATTTATCTTTTTTTAAAATTTTATGTGTATGAGTGGCTTGCCTGCATGTACGTGAGTGCACCCGTGTCGTGCAGTGCCACGGAGGTCAGAAGAGGGTGTTGGATTCCCCTGGAACTGGAGTCAAGGACGGTTTGTAGCCACCATGTGGTGCTAGAAATAGAACCCGGGTCCTCTGCAAGAGCAGTCAGTGCTCTTAATCGCTGAACCATCTCCCCAGCCCCCACTTTTTAAAACCTGAACAAAATCTAGTGGAGCACAAAAGTATAAATGACTGGCACTATATGACTGGCAAGTCACTGGGAGTTTCCCTAACTTTATAGCAGGAAGAATGGATTTTCTAAAGAGGAAGGTAATCTAAAACACATGATCAACAGTGATTCTTCTGAACATTGTTAACTCTATGTATTTGCTGATAGATGGGTGTCAAAAAGAATGCCATTTAGAGTGAATCTTTTTTTTTTAATTGTGTATGAGTGTATTGCCTGCTTGTATGTGAGTGCACCCCTGTCACGCAGTGCTGCAGAGGTCAGAAGAGGGCTTTGGATTCCCCTGGAACTGGAGTTATAGCCGCAATGTGCAGGCTGGGAATCAAACCCAGATCCTCTGCAAGAGCAGTCAGTGCTCTTAAACTCTGAGCTATCTCTCCAACCCCAAGTGAATCCTTTTTTTAAAAAAAAGTGTTGTTTGGCAAAAAAAAGTGACTAGTTGAATGAAAGATGTGTGGGCTGGGTCTTAAAGGTAAGTTTGCTGGAGAATCCAAGAAGGGAAGATTCTAAGAAGTGTAAACTATCTTCCAATGTTGAGAGATGCTGTGTGTGGTTCAGTTTGGTGTCAGTATATAATACACATACAGAAATTGTGTAGAGAGAAAGTAATTACTCATTACTTACAAATGAGTAATTGTGTTGGTGGTGCCCAAGGAGGCAGAGGCAGTAGGCCAATCCTGGGCAACACAGTTCTAGGTCAACCTGCACCATGTATATTCTCTCTCTCCCTCACTCCCTCCCTCCCTGTCCCCCTCCCTCTCTCCCTCCCTCTCTCCCTCCCTCCCCTTCCACAGACAAGATTATATTAAATAGCAATTTCCATTCCAGTTTATTCTACTAAATTATAAAAAGTTGACATTAACTGAGCACTTACTATAATCATAATGCTATTATTAATAAGCATTGTTATTTTGTCTGTTTTACAAAAAAAAAAATTTGAGACAGTAAAGGTTTGATAACTTACCTAAAATTCTTGAGGAAGTGACAAGTAGTTATTCTAAACAACTGTTGTGCCAGGATATTGTAGGAAAAAATACATTTATTCTCTTTGGATAATTTTTAACTTCCTGAAAGCCTGTAATCACAATAGCTCTGATAGTTTCAATAATAATGGTTATTTAATGGTCACTTTGGTGTTTGAATTGAACTCAGAAAACTCCAAGGGTATGTGGTTTTGAAATTTCTTTCCTGGTCATATCTCTTCAGTGAAATGTAAAAATTATAGGTGATAAATTTATAGAATAGGATGAAATAGGGAAAGGGGGTAGAAAGTTAGCTCTTTATTAAAGAAAATTAAACCATAGAATGGGAGTATCCAAGTTTTTCCTTGTTGAAGAGGGAAATTGCAGATAAGTACAGAAGGTTAAAATGAGGCATATGGCCAGGCGTGGTGGCACACACCTTTGATCCCAGCACTCAGGAGGCAGAGGCAGGCAGATCTCTGTGAGTTCAAGGCCAGTCTGGTCTACATAATGAGTTCCAGGACAACTGGGCTACAAGGAGACCCTGTCTCAAAAAAGCCAAAAAAAAAAAAAAAGAGGAATATGATCCTGGATTTGTGGAAGATACCAGTTAAATTTCATAGTTTCCTTAATGTAGGTACAGAAGGGTGGCTTTAGAAAAAAGTCATGAGAATGTGTGTACATGGATTAAGACGCATGTTTTCCAGCTCTAACTGCCTTGAGAGAGTCTAGAAGCAGTGACACCCCAGTAGCAAGCGTTTATAGCTTCAATTAAAGAAACCAGGGTTCCTGAAGAAGCTGCTCACTCTAGGGCTAGAGCAGCAAAAATATAGATGATCACAGAGCTTCTTGTAGTGCCAGAAGGAAAGGAAATACTCAAAACCCCAAAACACAAGGGCATGATAACGGGATAAAGGAGCCCACCTGAAAGCCCCCAGTGACCAAAACTGAAACAACTTGAGCCAAAAACTATTGTTGGATTATAGCTCCATAAAATAGACATTCCTAAATCAATAGTGACATGAATAATTGAATAAATAAGTGGAAGATGATGTTTTAAAGAATTCCAAATATTTTGGGCACTATCTTCTTCAGGAGGTAAAGATTAAGCCCCTCCCCTTCTTCCAGAAAATGGTCTATGAGAAGGAAAAAAAGTTGACAGTGGTGAAACTGGCCAAATACTACTTAGGCCAGATAGTTAACATCAATGATAAGTATGTTGATAGCCTGAACCCCTGGTATAGAGTGAGATGAGAAGGCCATGTCCCTTCTATG